TAAATTAAGCTACTGGATATATCCACTCTTTAGTTCCCAGAGCCCAGCAATAAGAGTTTTTCAGCCAAAAATTTGCTGCTTTTCCCCCTCAGTATTAGATAACTTTCTCTTCTTAAGAAGTACATACCTTCTTAAAGAGAGAAAGTTAAATGTCTTGATTATATAATGCAAAAGGGTTTGACTTATTAACAGTAACTTTAATTTTTTCTTACTGTCCAAATACAGAAATTTTGACAAAATTCAAGAACATGTGTTCATCTTGGTCACAGGTTTTTCCCAGATGGTGAATTCACAGGAATTCCTAGATTTGAACAACATTTTTACTACGTTTGAAACCACAGTACCACTTCACCAATGTGTATTTTCACCATTTAAACTCTTCACTAATATCTGGATATTGTATTAATCAAAATATCTCTGTGATATTTAGCTGACGCAACCTCCTAAAATTAGCTAGTTATTAGAGATACAGTACTTTACTTTCACTTGTTTTTCAGGGTACTGAAGGGAAAAAATGTACAGTGAGAAAAACTCATAACTGTTATGGAATATTATGAGCAAAACAAAAACAAAATTTTTAAATTGTTGTTCTCCACTCTTGGACCTGCTTGCAGGAACTACTATCAACTATACTTTTGATATATTTAGTCAAAGAACAGTAAAATCTGAAAGTTGCATATAGAAGAGAAGTACCAATCTTGTGCTACAGAATCTCTTCCCAACATTTTAATTATAAATAGTAAATTGTAAAAAAAAAGTGTTTTACTTTTGAAAACCAGACATTTTCTCTCGTGAGTTTTAGAAAACGAATTTGCATCGGTAAACAAAATGCAGATTTTGCTAACAAAATAGCACACCCCCAGCTCTACTCGTACCACTGCTAACAAAAGGTGAACTCAATAAACATGCACATAGTGGAACTACATTTATGTCCCGAAGCAAAACAAGAGGCCAACTCTGTATCAGATTTTCACGGTTAACTGAATTTTCAAAAATTTCAAGTTTGAATTATTTCAGGCATCTTCCTACAATTACAAAATTAAAGATAATGATTTTTCCTTCCAATGAAATTTGTATCTCATAATCAATTCAGTCAATATGGTCGGTCTCTCTCTCTCTATATATATATATCTCTCTCTCTCTCCTCTCTCTCTCCTCTCTCTCTCCTCTCCTCTCTCTCTCTCCTCTC